GTGGCTTGCCCTGGAGAGACTTTGATCACATGGCTCTTGGGTCTATCATCGATCAACAACCTCATCAAGTCAGGACGCGAATAGTGGCCTACAGGATCTTTCGACATTTTTGCGTCGACTATGCTGTCCAGGTCAATGTCTGCATAGATCAACCCGTCAAACAACTCGTCGGTCGGTCCAGTCAAAGGGAAGCCGTCCGCTCCGTAAACAACCGCTTTTCCACCACCAATACCGTTCAAATGGATTCCTTTTGGTTCGGATTGTCCCTCGGAGTTTGTCTTGAAGCCATCTTCGGAGATGACTTGATTGGACAATAGCACAAATGTGCCACCTTCAATCGCATGCATTTTCGATGCAAGCTGAGACCAGGTCAATCCACTATCGTATGACCAGGAAGCAATATGAACCTGTTCTCCTTGAGCAAAGGTGTTATACTTCAGTAAAGGTTGCATATGTTCTGTTGAATCAAGCATCCCAATGCGACCCAATGATGTCTCGACGACATTGCATAAAGAATCACCAGTAGCCTCTCCAAAAATGGTTTTCTCGAGGTGAGTAGGCTTTAGCTTTCTGCGGTGGAGAAGGACTTCTCCTGTGTTTGAGATCAACATCTGGGAGATGTAAACACTGGCATTGTCAAGTTCGCTGAATCCAAGTCCCACATAAATGTTGTTTTCCTGGGCCAGTTTGCGAATTGAAACAATCTCAGATCCATAGGCAGTGATTGAATTCTTCATATACTTTTGCACGAGTGGCTTATTCTCGTTGAAATTTCCAGTCCAGACAAAGTTGGGATACCCAGATATCCAGAGTTCAGGAAAAGCAATAAGAGATGCACTGTTTTTGGCAGCCTCGACAATAAGGGCCGCAGTCTTCTTCAGGGTTGCATCTTTGTCAAACCAAACTGGTTCTGATTGAACAACCGCTGCCTTCCATTGGCGAATTGACATTTTTGGCAACTGAGAGGGTACTTGAAGAAGTTCAGTTGACGGCCGTGGTGTACAATCCAAGTGCAATCAGTTGGTCTTATAAAACAATATTCCTTATACGACCAAGCATTAAATCAGTGGAATGATCAAACTATGTGGTAATTGAAGGATTTCCTTTGAGGAAGAAAAGTCGTATATCGAGCCAAATAGGGCAAGTGCAAGCACTGCAGAACCCACATTCCTGCAACAACCATTTTTGGCGAGAAAGATAATACTTATTCGAGCGGCGGCCGAAAATATCGTTTTGGGCTATCAGATTGGAATATCATCAGATCTGGTAACTGTATGCGTAATGCGCGCGCAGCCTTGGCGTGAAAGGAATCGCAGAGGGCTGTGGCATTTGGTGGATTTTTGGCTTTCACTATTGACTTTGACTGGTACCACTGCTGCTAATGAACTTTTCTCGTTGGGCGTTGCTGGTAACTACGTAACCTGGGGAATTCCGGTTTTCTTGAGATTAACCTCGGGTAAAGACAAATTCAAACTAGATCCATTCTACACCAGATTTCCTAAAAATTTGAAAAACTGAAGAATTATAAAAAAAAGTACCCAAAATAACTGGCAGTGTTATAAACCAACAGCAGGGAAAAGTTTATATCAGATCAGCAGCATAATTATGTCACACACTATTCCACTCAAAATGATAATTCAGATATCAAAATTGCGACTCGGACACAGGAGCACATCTTTCAATTAGCCCCAAAAGCCGCACAGAGTCATCAACCCGCATATCTCTGCATGTGCACGAGCAGCTCAAATTATCAGAACCGCCTCCGTAAATTCGGGCATGAAGAGTACTTCTAAACCAAGTCCCAGACTAGATTCACTGTCCTTGGCTGAAAACATAAATTCTTTGACCGAAGCAAAAGTGTAGGAATGATGCATGTTATCAATTCTTCTTTGAGCATCCAGAGAGTATCACGATGTTCCTTTTTGATGGCTGCTACCCCAGCACTCAAAAGTCAACTTCTATGGATTATAAATAAAACATATCTAAATATTAGGCTAGTTACAGAAGAAAAGGGCAGTGAGTCATGAACAGGATGAACGATGAAACCCCACATATTTACTTCATTAGCACTTACATCCGTGAATTAAACGGCTACACGAAGCTTTTGATTTTTGAAGCATCAAGAGGGCAGCAATAAAAATTATGGAAAAAAGTACTCGATATATTGGGCTGGAGCTTCAAATTTCTTCTGGCTCAAAATCATACTCAGCGTGAGAAACTTCCTGCTTCAAATCGTCATAGAACCTATCGCTATCTTGTTGCTTCTGAGTCTTGTATAACTTCCACTCCTTTAGGGGAATGTTTTTATCATACAACTCGTCGATCTCTTTAAAAAACCTTCCAGCGGTTTCCGGTTGGATGAAGTAGAACACAAAAATCGACAAGAATGACATACCCGTGAAAATGAAGTTGATCTTGGAACCCATATCAGCCTGGTCTGCGTTTAACATGTATGGCAAAACAAAAAACTACATGCATTGGAATGCATAGTTTGTAAGGGTAGCAGGTGCCATAGTCTTGGCTCTCAAACGACAGAAGATACCTCTGTGGCGTTCGTATATGGCAAGGGACCAAAACCAAGATTATAGAAGAAGTTGTACATCACCATGAATGCGAATGCAGCTGCCATACCACCATGGTTGTATCCGCTCAACCCTGCGCAGGCATCAATCAAAACCAACACAGTCAAGGCAATGATACCATAAAGAATCAATGGCCTACGTCCAAATCAGTCGATGATGAACCATGACGTAATGACACCAGTGACCGACAACGCCTGACCGCCACAACTCAACTGATATGAACATTGGGTAGACCACCCTGTGTGCTGGAAATAGTGGGTAGAATACGAGGAAATGAAGGTGACTCCCGACATCGGTTGCATAAAAAATGCAAACAGAATTGTGAATATTCTCTTAATATCCTTTTTCTTGAAACATTCGAGGTGGGTCAATGACTGTGTGATTAGCTTGAGCTCCTCGTAAGTCACCTTCATGATAGCAAACTATTGGTATGCTTGAGTTGGGTGTATAATCTTTGAAAGCTCTTCAAGGCATCCTCGTTTCTGTCTTTTCGAATGAAGTAGTAAGGAGACTCAGGCATGAATGGTGCTTTAAGAAGGCATAAGATTGAGAATATCCACTGTGTAATGAACTCTTCCGTATGCTATCATTGAGGTGTAAGTTACTGTCTTATTGTTGATAAGGTAACAGATGAAGGGACCTATGCACAATGAGAGCGAACATGCACCTGCAGCCAAACCTCTCAAAGCCAAAGACGAAACTTCGGTTACATAACTGATTGCCATTATAGAAAAAATACCCAAACACAACGCATTAACCATTTTTCCGGCCTAAAAATACATTGATTGTAGTTGCAACGAATTCAATAGCGATACTAGGAACGGAAACGACAAGACCGGCAACAATGATCCATTTTCTTCTGGGTCTGTCTGCAAACTATGAAGATGTCATCGATGCAAACGCAATAGCCATTAGGGGAGTACCAGAGATAGCAGATTGCAATTTCGTCTCCAAAACATATTGGTCTTCATACCAGTGTCCAAAGTCTTGTCTGAATTGCGGAATGGAGACCACAATACTGCCGGCTTGGTCTTCGTAACCCACCAATATCAACAGCCAAACCATAAACAGGATCCAAATGGATGCCTTTAGATAAGCTTTAATTGCTTGCCTTCTCGTGAGTTTGTGTTCTAGTTGATCAAAATCGAAAGACTTGACGGATGCGAGCTGGTGCTCCTCGGTTTGCTGGGCGATAGTGTCCTCGGCAGGACTTTCGTTCCTGATGGCCTTAACAGTAGCGATGTTGGGTTCGGAAGATGGGAATTCAATTTTGGAAAGCAGCCAGTAAACTCGCTACAGACGAGGAGCCGCCCCAAATATATACATCCTGTAATCGAGCTGCAAATCATGTAACATCTTGCCTGCATCTTTCTGGGATAAATCAGGAAATATAAGTCCCAATACTCACGAAAAGGGAATTTTTAGCGCTTCATCAGCCACCTCCAGAAAGCTTGAAAGCCGGGTGTGGGGGGTAGCGTAGAGATTCGGTGTTTGATGTCTCCGTCTCCAAAGTGCATGGTGTGTGCGTAGTGGAGCATCTCGGTGTTTCATGTTTCGATCTCCAGGGCGCATTTTAGGCATACGACGAATCTGAAATTTCTGGGTAGAAATCCCCCGTCGGATTATGATAAGAATATTTCGATGAAAAATTCAGCAAAGGTATTACATTGGTTTAGCTCTCTAGTACCTGAATCTCCATTTTCTCAAAAACATCAATTGAGAAATGTTGTTTTGCGTACAGGTACCAGTTTGTAACAGTAATCACAAAAGTAGCAAATAGCACAACAACAGTGTAGTTCATACCACTTGCAGTAACTGGAACATACATCGGCACACATGTCCAAGCAGAAGCAAAGAAAAACCATATGAAACAGATTATGTTGATTGGCCTCCCCCATGTGCCAAGGTTGAACAAAGGCTTCACGCCTTTGCCAAATCTGTCCTTTCTTAAAATTAAAACAAGAAATGGGATAGAATACCCCAGGTACATGGCAGAAACAAAACTTCCGGACACTGCATTCAATGCTGCGCTGGAGGCAAAATAAAGAAGCCCAATCAAGGCCTCCGCAACACTAACAAATACTATTGCCCACACAGGCGAATTCAGGCCTGGATTCACTGATCCGAAGACTTTTACACCATAGGGAATGGATCCAAAGTCTGCAAAGGACATTAAGAGACGACTTGCAGAGGTTACAACTGGCACACTTCCGATTGGGAAACCGATAGCGATGATCAATGCACACGTGAGGGCCAAACCGTCATTGTGAAGCGAATCCACATAGAGTTGGAAGAGGGGAATTCCTCCCACAGGGTCAAGCAGATTGTCTGCACTCACAATGCAAAAGTTGTACACCAAAATTGCAACCAGTCCAACGAGAAACGCACCTGTATAACCATATGAAATAACTCTCGGAATATTTTTCTTTGGATTTGGAACCTCATCAGTCATATGGCAAGCACCATCAAAAAGAGACAGAGCGCTAACGCCTGGTAAGATACTGAGAAAAAATACAACTCCATTTGAGCTCCATCCTGTGAGGTTGGTCACCTCAGTGAAGGCAAACGACGCCGTTTGTTTTGGATGAGCTCTTGCCAGCAGAGCAACCAGGGTGAAAAGTGTTCCAAGGTTGAAGATATAATTCACAAGCCGGGCAATAAAAGGAATCCACTTTACGGCAAAGATGTTAGCCACAGCCGACAACAAAGTATTGGCCAGGAATACCAGGTAGTAGTGATAGGTCTGGCTAACATATTCCGGATTACGCATAACGGCCACACCCAAAACAAGATCAGAAATAAAGAAACTAGTAGCAGTAGCTCCAAAAATCCAACAAGCACACGAAAGAATACCACTGGCATAAGCTAGAAATCTGGCGTAATTCTTTGGAGCATACAGATGAGTCCAATAAACCATGGCAGACGAATGAGGGTTAACGGAAGCCATCTCTGCTATTGAGTAAGCCGTGAGCAAACAGAAAAACCCCGTAAACAAGTACGAGTAGAAAAAGAATGGAGCTCCGCCGACACCGATCACTGTGGAGAGGTAAGTTCCCAGAGTGAGTGGAGTAGCAATAGATGAGTAAACAACTCCGACGACACCCCAGATGTCAAAGTTTCTCTCCAGACCGTCTTTGCCCCGTATTTCAATGATTCTGCAAGTCTCACCATCTTCTGTATCGATGACTTGAACTCGGGCGCTGACATCTTTTTTGAGTTTCTTTTCTTGGTAGTTAGATCCATCATTTGAGGACGACATTGTAAATCTATCAGTTTAAAGGTCAAGACACCAATAATCATGCAATTCTGCCAACTGGATTCGTGGCGCGGCCGTGTTTTTATACAAGAGAATTATATAGAATATCTACCTTGTGTTGCCAAGGGTCTGCTGAGAGCTAAAGCGTTTGTTATCTGCGACTTATCGAAGATAGGGATCATATACTTTGGCACACACGAATGTTCGCTAGTGATTGCTTGGTTGTACCTGGGACACACTGATAAAAGATAAGATAAGGAAATAATTTGGATGCACACTACTGTTCGCTAGCTACTGCTCAGTCTTATCTGAGATACTAATTGAGGATAAGAATGAATCTAATACTCACCAATATCAAAGCCTGTACAGAACCTACCATTTTTGTTATTCAAGATTAGATTAGAATCTGATGATCCAATCACTATCCACCATTCGACGTAAATTACATATTGTCCAAAAGCTGTAGATCGATACCGAAATTGTAAGCATCTGTTGATACAATACCGATTTATGCATGTCTAGTTTCTACTGGAAGTGTGATTGCTTTGGGGAAGTCTTCTTTCTATATGCACTTTGTGATCTGCTGGTGGAAATATGCCGTTGAGGAAAACGATACAGGTTTTGCAAAGCGCGCAAGATCCCTCTCTCGTATTAGCCAGACAAAGTTTAGAGTGAAGGTATAGCAAATAAACTATATGAATCAAGGCATCGTTTTGGATCCCATCAGTATTTTTTCTCAAAAAACTGCACTCATATGAATGACAGTCCTACAACTGGCCTCCATCGAATCATAACTTAGGGACAGTCTGCCTGCTTCAACCGATCTCAAGTTCGGTTGGATATGCGTCTGGAGGGTTCGCATCAAGTGAGCAATTTCGCAAGTCTCTTCATGCCAAGTACAACGTCGAGTCGATATCTCGAATAACAGACAACCAGCTTACCTGCTCGCCGCCTTTTCTTCTTTCCCAAACCCTTTCGACAACACGAGAACCCCGTCTCATTGTGTCTACGCAGTAAAGGTCCACTAATCTTAGCCAGTCAGTAACCCTCGTTTGAGATTCGGAAGAAGTCGCCTCACAGCAAATAATAAAAGCCGGCCAGAACAAACCAAGTCCTGTGAAGCCTTTCGAGATCTCCTCGCATATTTCTATGTGGTCAATTCCAGAGCCCACCAGGTCTTGCAAGGTCTGAGGGTCTTGCTTCTTCACTTCCGTGAGAAATAACAAACTGATGGCAGTGTGGAATATAAAAGACTGATGATATACTATCAACGAATTCGCAGAATGCATGCTGGCATTGAACGCTGGAGGCTTGCAATCTATCAGCTCCAGTTCAATATCGAAGATGGCTTGATCTCGATATTTCGTTGACTTCGCGAGCTGAATATGCCTCACTATGCTTGTCAAACAATTCATCATACCTGGCGTAATTCCTAAGTTGCGATAGATCAGCGACTCGGTCATATTTTCTTCTGGATATCTCATGAACTCTAGGTCCTCGAGTGTCAAGTACTTGTGACAAAGATCGTCATTTTGCATATATAATGCGGATTTAAGGTAGGCCAGTCTCGTCAATTGAGAAAAATAGAGTAAGGCACCAGATAGTCCTTCTGGTTGGCCAAGTCCTGCAATAAGTCCGCCCCCGTCCGAATTGCCTATGGCTTTCAGAGCTGATACAGCACCTCCGAGATGAATCTGCCATTCGTCTGAACTGTTGAAACAATCAGTTGCCAGCATGAAACATATGGACCCAGCTAAGAAACTCAGCTCTTCGGATGTGGAAACGTCTTTCCACGAGTACTTGTCCGAAACAAAACTGAGAGCCCTGATTTTGTGAAACTTCCTGTACTCATGGAAGTTGGTATGCTGAAACTGAGGGGCTATAAAGGCATGGTCTGCACTGGTTGAAAGGAAACTCGAGCAAATAGCACACACTGTATGCAGGATTGCCCTTTGAAGCTCAGCGGCATGCGGTTTGTCCAGTGCCTCCTTCAACATAAGATTATAGGGATTCATTTCACTATCGTCCACCGGCGTGAGAGTCTTACTGAAATAACGATTCCAAAAATTCAGCAAGACAATCTCAATCTCAAGATCTCCGTAGAGACCCTGGAATGAGGCCTGCTCCAGTCTTTCTCGTATTCTGCTCCCGGATTCCATAGCGAATACTTCAAAAGTGATATTTCTTGATTCATTACTCGAGCAGCTATCGCTCCTGGTGCATATACCCATCTCCACCTTGCAAGTGGCATTGAAAACAGTGAAAGGCCCATAACCGACCTCCTTCGTACTCTCCAGATTTTTGCAAGTCAGGGATACCGACGCGGTTTCGATTCTTTCCAAGAAGCTGTCAACCTGAAATTCGTTCAGTAGTTGGTTCTCTTTCCACTTATAAAGAATAAGACATCGACTCCTCTGATACCCGTGTTCCGACGACGATCTATTGTTGTCACCCCAGCACAGCTTCACCATGTAACCCTCACACTTGACTTTGTGAATTAAGCAGTTCCTGCAACCAGGTCTTCTTTCGTCGCACCTAACTCCACGCTTTCGACATGTCCAACAACCTGTGTACTTTTTTGTTTTTCTAGTTGAAGTATCATCTATCTTAGACATGTCTCCAGGATCCATTACTGCTTTCAAAAAACGTGGTCGGGAACCTAAAGTCAGAATGAGGTCCCCTAGCTTTGAGGTTGAGTGAAGCGCTTGGGCTTACATAATCCATATGGATCTCTCATCTCGCATAATCGGCGTTTTCAAATGGGATATCGAAGCGAGGATTTTCGAAGCATACCACAGATACCGGTTTGACGGATATGCAGGATTATGAGGTTGGGCTCAAAACCATGCACTATCTAGTCAACCTCGCTTGAGACTTCCTAGATCATTAAAGAATCACGAAGTTTATCTGCAAGTTAAAAACTGCCGTTAACCATTTCGCACTATTTAAGCTCAGGAATGATCCTTTACGGTACCTGTGCTTTTCATAAAACTAGAAAACAAAAACAAACAAACTACAAGACCTAATCATGACCGAAGTTATTACCTCATCAGTGTTTAACATCGAACACTTGAATAAAGTGACCGAGGATGGAAGACCAATCATCAAACTTCCTAATAGTGGCGACACTAGGGTTTTGAAATTGAATAAAGAGGATTTGATTGTTTCCGAGCCAGCAACCCCCGAGAAGATTGAGGAGAAACTCAAACTCTATGGTGGTTGTATAGTCAGAAACTATCTCCTGGAGGAAGACTGCGACCAAATTCTTAAAGACGTCTCTCCCCGTTTAAATTCGTTCTCAAATTCAGGAGATGCAAGTAATTTCATCTCTCCCACTACGCGCCGTGCAAGCGGAACTTGTTTGAGGTCCAGAACTGCTGCTGAGAAGATGTTGATCCACCCTTTGAATCTAGCAGTTTCCAACAGGTTCCTGGGTAAAGAGAACGTTTTCAGAATTGGAGAGGAAGCGGTTACCGGCTTTTCCAAGGCACAACACAACTCATGTATCACTTTTTCAATTGGACCTGGCTCTAAGGACCAACCCTTGCACAGAGACGATTATTTGCATCACAGTGTACGACCATACCGGGAGAAATACACATTTGGAACAGAGACTGCTGTTGGTACCGCTGTGGCACTGAGAAGGACCACCAAGGCAAATGGTGCCACCAGATTCATCCCTGGTTCTCACTTGTGGGATCACTATCGTCGTCCAAATGAAGAGGACGTTTTCTATGCTGAACTAGAAAAAGGCGATTGTTTTTTTATGCTGGCTTCCTGTTATCACGGAGGTAGCGCAAACACCACCAAAGATGAACAGAGAATTGTCACTTTTCTGTTTATGACACAGGGTACTCTCAGACAAGAGGAGAATATCTTCCTGGGAACCCCGATTGAGTACTTCAAGTCTTTGTCTATTCCAGCCCTTGCTGCTCTCGGTTTGCAAACCAGTCAGCCTTTCTGTGGATGGCATGAAAACGAAGACCCAATTAGGTTTCTGCTCCCCGAGGCTGATTATGAGTTTACGCAGTTCAAAGATGTTTACATGGTTGAGGACTGATACTGGGCTAATTGATTGTTGACATATTGCTCGATCAGGGATAGTTTCAATGTTGAACAATGTCAATACGAACCGTTCTGTCAGGAGAATCACACATACTAAAAACAGTTTTGATTGGCTGAGAAAAATCAAAAGTAGATATGAACCTGTATTAGTGCCGGCAAATCTCTTGAGACTTTTGTTAAGCATAAAGTGCGACGAAAGTTATTGTACAAACATCCGATGGGGGGATTTGAAAATATTCCAGAACGATAGAGAAGAAAAGGTTAACCGAAAATGATTTGAAGATAAACAGAGTATCTGCAATCGATCTTCAGGGAGCAACCGGTCGTATCCCAACTTTTCTTGATGGTTTTTGGTATCAAACGATAAGGGAATTCTTACTCTCAAGTCAGATATAATCGTACTCCCTGTGAGAAATAGTTTCTTGCTAATAACGTTTTAAGTCGCAATAAAATGAAAGCTCGAGTTTTATTGTTTCAACTTTCAATGATTTTACAGTTGTTTGAAGATATGTGAGGATAAGCATCTTTCAAACTCGTTGACTCTAATACTATTATATGATCTAGTTGTTAACAGCCCTAACTTCAATCTCATGGTGAGCTCCCCCTGACGATTCGGAAACCTTCACAGCTGTCCATGCAGGACTTTTTTCCCCAAAGTATTCTTCGACAGCAGCATGGACATGAACCATTCTTTCTTTTCTGAAAAGGGTACGGTAGGTGTTCGAATAATATAAACGGACTTGAACCCGTTAGTGACACTGGCATGCTTGAGACCAATATACACGATCTCGAAGGCATTAAATTTTTTGGATTTCACGTGAGAAGGAAGCTTTTCGTTCTCATCAAAACCGACCTGACCAGAGGTCTCGACTATGCTTGTACCTCTAATGGAATAATGATGGCCTGACTCAGCACTGGCGGCAAGTCTTCCAGGTGGAGTGGCAGTTCTCAGTCCGAATTCTGACAGGTTGGTGATTTCGTGGAGTGTTGGGAGTTTTGGAACTGAATTTGGTTGATGTGAGCTTTGTAAAACTTCTGCCCAGGAAGCTTTCGCCCTTTCAATAGTATGATTGATACCGACAACCGAAGCGATAGGTCAGCGATCCTGATGCATCTGACGGCATTGGAAACTGCAACAGTGGAAGAGGTTTTTAAGGTTTGTCTGGTTTTTCTGGATCTAGTATCGACATCTCAAATTGCTTGGTTTCTGATATAGTAAAAAGTTCGCTTGCCATAACCTTTTTTGCAATCCGACTCTGTTTCCGGTTTCCCTTATATCCGATTATTGAACCATCCCCGGTTAGTAAATCCGGATAGCGGTATCTCTAAAAACTATATAAAAGCAGTCTGAGCGCCTTTCAGTGCAGTATTGTAAAGTTTAACTGGTACTAAGGTATATATATATATTCATCATGATTGTAGCCAACGAGAGACAAGCCGCCAGCAAGACCAGGGGCAAATATGTGGTTTTTGAGAGGGACGGGCTCAAGTATGCTAAGGTCCTCAGGAACGACTACGACATGCCAGTTAAAGTCACTAAGGATGATCTCACTGTCAGCGAACCCGCCACTGCCGAAAAAATAATCCAAAAAATTGAAGTCTTTGGTGGCTGTATTGTCAAGAACTACCTTTCAGCCGAAGTGACTGATGCCATCTATGCTGATGCCAAACCGTACCTGGACCAGGACACTTCTTGGGATGGAACCTTCTTTCCACCAGAAACCAGAAGAACCGCAGGTATGTGTGTCAAGTCAAAGATTTGTGCCGAGAAGTTCTTGACTCATGAGCTGAACGTTGCTGTTTCCAATGCATTTTTGGGGAGGGAGGATGCTGTTTGGTCTGGTGACGAGATCGTTGAAGGCTACTCTCCTCCGCAACACAACTGCACCATCACTTTCAGAATTGGTCCGGGGGCAAAGGACCAAGTGTTGCATCGTGATGATGGTATTCACCACAACATTCACAAACATAGGGACTCGTACCATTATGGTGATGACTCTGCGCTGGGTATGGTGTTGGGGTTGACCAGAACCACCAGGGCCAATGGTGCAACCAGATTTGTTCCAGGCTCTCATCTTTGGGATCACTGGAGAAAGCCTAGCAAAGATGAGGTTGTCTATGCTGAATTAGACAAAGGAGATTGTTTTTTCATGCTCGCGTCGTGCTTCCATGGTGGGTCTGCTAACACTACTGAGGACGAGTACAGAACAGTCACCATTCTGTTCATGACCCTTGGAACCCTAAGACAGGAAGAGAACATTATGCTTGGAACTCCAATTGAGTACTTCAAGTCTTTGCCAGTAGAAACCCTGAAGCTGTTAGGTCTGACGCCCTCTGAGCCATTCCTTGGTTACATCGACTTCAAGGATCCTCTGGCTCTACTGAAGCCAGAAGAACATGCCAAGGAAAACAAGGATTTGCGTGGCACCGCTTACACGGGAATTCTTGTTGATAGCTTTACTGCTTGAGTCGACTAGAAGTTATTTTGAAAAGGCCTAGACTGGCTCCGGGCGAAAGGCCTAAAGGTGGACGAATGCTTAAAATCCTGAGTTGTTTTTCTTGGTGAAGACTTGTTCGAGATCAGCGGGGTACCCCTTTGAAACCGTCGAAGGAATCTTCCTCTAATATCTCTATAATCTCAAAATGATTTAAGTCTGGATCACTTGAAGCCCTTGGTGTGGAGGCTTTTCCTTTTTTGACATCCTCACAACATCAGTGTGTATTTTGAACTTCTCTTAGATTTCAGTATCACAGCTGTAGGATTCCAACGTTTTCCCTCTGGTTCTGGGCAGCTTTTGGGATAGCAAGGGCCATAAATTTACACTGCAGTCAGTTCTCGACAATACACCTTAACGATTGGTATCCACTGATATTTTTTATCCGTTTACTGCTGTGCATGAATAAGCCATCCATCATTTTTTCAAATCGTTTCGATTTCTGTTCAGTGATAGCATGGCAGTGAAGGTGAAAACTTCGGCCCCCCTCTTATCTGTACGGTCATCCTCATCCAACTCATATGTAGACTTGTCCGTTTGATGACCCTAAAAAGCCGAATGCAGCGCTGAATGAGTAGAATCAACGAAGAAACTATTGACAGTAGCATTAACGAAACTAACATCTTCATGGACCAAAGAGTCATCTCTGGACCTCTTTTTCATTACCTCAAGTTTGGTTTGCTAAGGTCTTGAATCATAAATCCTGGTGAAGACTGGCATGAAACACAGATATAGCAAAATGCATCCTAGTCGCCAAAACGCACTGTCTACGCGTCCTGGGGAAACCCCGCTATGCAAGGTACAAAAAAGACTGATGCACTTGAATCGCGATGCGGCACGCCGGGAACTACCACTACGGAGTGCCAATGAAGGACAGGCTGTTGAAGACGCATATGCCGTTGCAACTACCTTAAAAGTATTTTAAAGTTGACGAAAGCAGAAGGAGCAACATAAACACATGGTTTAAGTCCCCCGTCGGATTAGAAGACTTTTATAAATCAAAACATTGTATGAGAGCGGAAAGTCGTAAGTGTTGGGGTCAAACGCCCGAGTGCAGCGCAAAAATGATGTTATCTTAGCGTCTGCACCATGGATCATGTTTGAGCTCAGTCTCTTTGAGACTTCTATGAAATCTGGATAGCTTCTCACCTCTGTCTTTCCATATATATACATGTATACTCTCTTCAATTTTCTTGAAGTCAAAAGTTTGTATCTGCGATATTCTCTATGAGAATCATGTAATGACTCGACTTCTTGACCAGAAGAACGAAAATAAACAGAACCCATCACTCAAACTCTCAAAATAAGTCAATTTAATAAATACTGTTATAAAGCATTTGAAGGTTCTCTGCCACCCGTCCGATATTTTGCTGACAAAAAAACCTAAGCTGGTATAGCAAGTATTGCAATCTCGAAACTATATTGCTTAGTGAGGCAAGCCAAGATCCAAAGCCTCCTGAACGTAGCTCCAGTAGGCATCCTTGGTGGCAACTCTGGTTCTCTTTCCATAGTAAATCATGGGGAGGTAGGTCGAAATTCCAGCAAGCGAAATAAAGCAAGCAGCAATAAACGTATTTCTTATACCGGTATTTTCAACCCATGGTGTAATTCCCCAGTTAACTGCAAAACTCATTGTGTTTCTGATGATGATTACAGGAACCATAGCACAAGAGCCAAGCGCACAGTATGATTCCAACACATAGTTGATAGAGCAGTGGGCGCCCATTAAACCCGCCCCACCTAGAATTCCCATTGCAAAAACGAGGCCTATCCAGTGGATACCTTTCCAAGCTCCAACTCCCCACAGGATAAAGCAGCCAGGGCCCAGGATCAAGTAGATAGTGTTCAACCACAGTCTGTCCTCTGGCTCAGAGACCCCATTTTTCTTTCTCGCAGCATTGAGTCTAAGTCTATCACCTAAATTTCCACTGATGAACGAGAAAGCAACAGTGGCCAAAATGGGGGCAATGTACGTCACACCAACCATGGAAGACGAAAAATTGTATGGGGGGGAAGAGAAAATTGATGAACCCGTTGCATTAAGAATGTTGAACCAAACTACACCCAGGCCATAATAGAATCCTGACCAGCACACAACTGGAAATCGAAACATGGTAAGCGACCGCCACATCAGCTTGTGAAGAACAAATGGACGTGGCTTATCGAGGAGCTGCAGCTTTTGCGTGTACGTTTTCATTGGCTTGGCCATATCAATGTGATACTTTAATGGTTCAGGGTTTGAATCTGTTTGTTCCACGGTAACAATACCAATTTGCTTCTCCTCTGGAATCTCTTCGATCTCATCATCTGCGGCTATGTGAGGACGCGTATAGTTAGTTTCCTCCATGAAGAAGAATAGCACAATAACGGCAACACCGTCAAAAATTGCACACCAAAAACAAACCCATTTCCAGCCCTGGCCATCAGATATGAAACCTGCAACCAATGGTGCAATTTGGTTGGATACTATAAGTGAAACCGCGTACACAGACATCCATCGACCACGTTCATGCTCGAACCAGATATCAGCAATAGATATTTCACCCAGAGATTCAATTGGAGCACCAAAGAATCCTTGCAGTAGTTTGGAGGCAATCCATTCTCCTGAGGAGGTGGTGTAAGGTGCCCATACCATCATGAACAATGTCACAAACACGGAGAAAATATAAACAGGTCTCTTACCATACTGCTGTGCCATGGGTTGCCAGACCAAACAACCCCATCCAAAGAACAGAAACATTACACCAGTACCATCGTTCAGGTTTGACAAGGTTAAGCTAGAGTTCTCAATTATCGGAACCAGCACAGAGTATATTGCGGCTGATGGTACACCGACGGCCATATTGTACAAAACCAAGCAGAACATACTCAACAGCTTTCTCTTGAATGACCAATTCAGTGGATCGTCGGGATCATCGGTTGGAGTCGGAATTAGTACAATTTCCTCAGTCTTCTCTGAGTGTTGAGCATGCATAACTCCATCCTCGTCAACGAGGTGGGCGGTACTGTGAAAGTTAACATCATGAAACTCTAGACCCGAAGTTTTACACCTACCCTGGTATTGCTTCACGATTAATGGTCATTGTGCTCTATTACTGGTGCCTGGACAAAAGAACTTGAAGATGTACATCAGATCTACAAATTATGTAGAGAAAACTACTCATTATATGTGCAAGCAAAAAGCTTCTGGCGGCCTGCTAATCAGACCCTGTTCCCGAAATGGTGTCCATTAAAGATAAGGGCATTTATTCTATTCATTTGCGCCAGAATTGCTGGTCTGTCTAGACTATCTTGGTATCCCTCCATTCGTGAATGTGGGTGACTCCCGTAGGCCTGTCGATGAGGCATGGCGCTTGCAGATTTCCGATTTGTCTTGCCTTAATAGGTGATACTATCAAGCGATAAGGCATTTCCAAGGATAGAAAACCCTTAAACTTCAAAGCGTATCCTACCGATTCTTGGCCAAAATTGTGGCATATCTTGTTAAAGTGGGCGGAGGGCACCACAAGTATAAACACAATAAAAAAGAATGCGACTTGCAGAGGGTCTCCAGACTTCATAACTGGATCGCACGCGGCTAGACACTAGTATTGATTTGTTTTTCTGGACTTTCAGGAAAAAAAGAGGGGAATCATCAGCGTCTATGATTTTTGGTGAGATAACATTACCATTTCCCAATGCGGTTGCTGCAGGATGCAGCTGGTTTGCGCCGATATCCTCGAGTGATAAGACATATCGAAATTTCAAAGCACTTTGTACTGATGCTGGGCCATATTTCTGTGTAACTTGCCAGAATTAAAATTTCTCCAGGAGTCCATTACCTGATCTTTGAGTTTAGCCGTGATTAAAGTCGGTTTGTCCTGCCTTAGTGGGCAATTACAGTAGTTTTCTCAGATGCGGCGAGAAGTGATCCACTGCAGGGTATACAGTACTAATTCTCGTAAATACTATCTTCTTCCAAGGAGTTTGTTATCTGATACTCAAAATGCTGTTTTCTGATAGCTGCAGTTGCTGCCGGTTTGTCATTCCTTAATAGGTGATGGCAGTCAGTTATCTGAGATACGGCGAAAAGCCCACGATATAAGAAGGTGCTGATTAGGTCTACAAATCGAAATTGCCAACTGACCCGAGCGAAACAACAATTTTTGCTTAATTATTATGACCTGGCTATATCAATTGGTGGTGGTACTCTCTGCTATCGTCAACTTCTTCAACCGCACCAAGTGGCAGGTGAAGGCTGAACGCAAGAAGAAGCAGGTCCTTGGCCTTATTCCCAAAGAATGGGTTTTGAAACCCGATTTTTTTCCGGTAGACAAGAATGCTTGTGTGGTTGATATCCCCCGCAAATCGGGAATTTTATCTAGAAAAGAACTGGATATCACAGAGAACTACAATGCCAAAGAACTGGCGGATAACATAAGTAGTGGCACTTTCACCGCTCTGGAAGTGACCACAGCTTTTTGCAAAAGAGCGGCAATTGCCACCCAGCTAACAAACTGTTGTACAGAGTTGATGTTTGATTTTGCCTTGGAAAGGGCCAAGAAGCTAGATAATTATTTGGCAGAAACGGGAAAGGTTATGGGTCCCTTGCATGGTTTGCCAATCAGTTTGAAAGACTCGTTCAATGTCCCCGGATTTGATTCTACAATTGGATATGTGTCTTTTATAGGCAACAGTGATGATATTACTCGTTTTTCTGATTTTCCGCAAAGTCTTTGGGATATGGGAGCCGTGTTTCATGTCAAGACCAATGTTCCCCAGACCTTGATGACGACGGAGTCAACTAATCATGTGTGGGGCACCGTTCTGAATCCCAATAATATTTCGCTCACTGCAGGTGGATCATCTGGTGGTGAGGGTGCTTTGGGAAGAATGAGAGGTTCAGTGGTTGGGATTGGCACCGATATTGGTGGTTCCATTCGAATCCCTTCCGTCTGCAACGGGACATATGGATTTAAACCCAGTTCGGGAAGGACCCCATATGGTGGCCAGACCAACCAGAACGAAAATGATATCACAAAATTTGGTATAGCATGCTCTGCTGGTCCTCTAGCAAATAATTATGAAGCTATTGAACTTATCCTTGAGAGTGTCCTCAAGAACAAGCCCTACGACTACGATCCTGATGTTAAAGTTGTCGACTTTCAAGATTCGTTCTTGGACTGGGACGACTCAAAAAAACTAAATATTGGATTTATTCTTGAGGATCCGCAGACTCCCGTTTATCCAAACATCAAAAGGTCACTCTCTACGGCAGCTGCATTGTTGAGCAAGGCTGGCCACAATGTTATCCCACTGACGTTGCACCCGAGTTTCAACGAGGGAATGTTCAATGCCGTGCGATTATTTTTGTATGACAACTCCTGGGACACCTGGAAAAATATTGTGATGGGTGGAGAGCCTCCATTATCTGCTTTATCTAAGTTTACCCTTCCTCCTCTCTCATGGAGAACCCTTAAGAAATGGACCCGCAGAAGAGTCGAGTTAACCAGCCAATGGCGCCAGCTTTTCGTTGACCAGAAACTTGACATCATCATTTGTCCAGGGTCACCTTCTAGTGCTCCTCCTCACGGGTGTTTTGGAGCGGTGACATACCTCGCCAATTGGAACCTCTGCGACTTCCCGGCCTGTATCATTCCGTTCGGAGAACCACTTCAATCTGACGACAAGTTTGCAGATATAGGCACCACTCCTTCTGAAGCCGAAAATCTGATTCCTAACACAATCCCTTTTGACCCCATTCAGTTCAAGGGTGGAATTGGCCACGTCCAGATTGTTGCGAGGGCATACGAGGACGAGAAATTGATTGCGTGTGGCAAGATTGTTAACCAGGTGCTGCACCCGAGAGAGTAATTTGCTAAAATTCGGCCAAGTTGTGGCAAATATGTGACAATTGTATTTGTGGTTTCCAAATGTTCATGTAATTCAGGTAATTTCGGCTGACTGTAAAAGCTATCTGATATGACGAAGATATTGTGAATTTCTTTCTTTATTCCCTACAACTGTTCTGTAACCTTCCTCCTCTTCAACCCCATTACCTAATCAGGCCCTCCATCTGCAAGTTCCGGACTGCATACGCATTACCCGGTTGGGATATACACTATACTCAATAGAAAGGCCCTTCAGATTATGAGCAATTTAAAGTCATATATGAGCATTTAATTGATTTACACATAAAGACAGAGTAATTCTTAGCACCCGTAAGCGCAGGCGCCACTTTAAACCCCAGATCTGGTGTTAAGCAAAGCCATTCCAGCTAACCTTAAAACGAGCATATTTCTGGCTGTCGGACTTTTATTTAAAATGAGAGGGTAAATCTTAACTTTTCCAGCTCAAATGAAACTTAAGCAAAGACTCGATAATGAGACGGCTCCATCACATCCTAAACCATACAAGTGCCCACCTAGTCCAAGGCAACTACACGGATAACGATGAGACCAGTAAAAAGGCAGATGTCGAGGCAGTGGTCGATCACGTTGCCGAGGAATCTTCTGATACAATCAGTTTAGAGGCTTTGAATGAGAAGGAGGTCCAGATGCATCCCAATGGGGTCACAGGCGAATCTCCTGTGGGGGTTCAAAAGGCTGAGGCTGTTGCTCTGGTTTGGAGCAAAACAGCTGTATATTTGACGTATGCTTGGATTTGGATTTGTTTCTTTATGTTGGCTCTTGAACAGTCCATTGGAAGCAATGTGATGGCGTTCGCCTATGCCGATTTCAGCGCGGCTTCCCAGGTCAGCACCGTTGGAATCTTGGCCTCCATAGTTGGAGGTGTTCTTACTTTGCCTATCGCAAAGACTTTGAACGTGGTGGGTCGGGCTGAGGCCTACTTGATCTTTGTGGTTGTCTACATTATTGGAATCATAATCCTGGCTGCATGCAATGGACCGAAGTCGTATGCTGCTGGATATACGTTTTACTCGGTTGGCTACAGTGCCGTCTATATGATTCTACAAGTGTTCATTGCAGACACATCTGGGCTTCATAACAGAGCCTTTGCCTTCGCCTTCGCGAACGTTCCCTTGATCTGTACTGCCTTCACCGGACCTCTTGCGGCTGAGTCCTTTCTCAAGGTGACCACCTGGAGATGGGCTTACGGAGTCTTTGCCATTGTCATGCCTTTTGTGCTTGTTCCGTTGGCATTGGTGTTCAAATTCTACGAGATGAAGGCCAAGACGATTGGGCTTCTTGTTATAAATAACTCGGGCCGCTCCTCCTTACGGTCTGTGATGTACTACATCCAAGAATTCGATATTGTGGGAGCGTTCATCTTGATGGCTGCTTTCATCCTCTTTTTGCTACCATTCAGCCTCGAGACATATGGTCGTACCGAATATAAGAGTGCCTCCTTCATTGTGATGGTGGTGATTGGGTTTTTGCTCTTCTTCGTGTTTGCTGCATGGGAGAAGTTCTTTGCGCGTACGCACTTCGTCAAGTGGGAGCTGTTCCGCCAGCGAACCGTACTCGGTGCCTTCTGTCTTGCAGCCATTCTTTTCTTTAGTTACGTCACCTGGGATGCTTACTTTTACAACTTTGTTTATGTTGTCTATAATTTGCCTGTGTCCAAGGCGGGTTACATGACCCAGATTTACAATGTTGGTTCGTGCTTCTGGTCAGTGGTTTTTGGAGCCTGGTTGCGCTACATCAAAACTTTTAAGTACACTTGTTTGTTCTTTGGCTTGCCCCTCATGTTTCTGGGTGCTGGTCTGATGATTCACTTCCGTGGTCAGACTAGCGACATTGGATATATCATTATGTGCCAGATCTTCATCGCCTTTTCTGGTGGTACTTTGTTCATAGGGGAGGATATGGCCGTCATGGCTGCAGCCGACCGTGAAGGAATCCCTATGATGCTCTCCGTTTTGAACCTCAGTTCCAGTGTTGGCTCAGCAATCGGATATGCCGTTGCTGCTGCTATCTATGACAACGTCTTCCCATCTGCGCTTCGTGATGCTCTTCCCGCTGACTCCAAGGATCTCTGGACGATCATCTACTTTGGAGGAGTGTCTACTCAAACAGCATATCCTGTTGGAAGTGACATTAGAAACGCCATAAATTACGCGTATGGCCAGTCTCAAAAAAACGGAGCCATCGCTGCCACGTGTATTCTTGTCTTGGCCATTCCTGCTATAACTATGTGGAAGAATTACAAGGTGGACAAGAAGCAGAACAAGGGTACCGTTATCTGATTTTTTTTCCCTTTATGGCCTAAGCATTCATCTCCAGTATTCGGTTTTTTTTTTTTTGGTAGAACTTCGAAATTTTTGGACTCTTTCTCAAAGTGACGGTTTGAGGTCAAGACTCTTTTAGAATCAGGGTTTGAAAGATTCCGTTTCTGTCACATAATTAATACAGGAACAAGCACGGGTTCAGAAGAGATCATTTTCTGCCTTATCCTGTGACGCGCGAGGTGTAGCACAGACACTTTCCAACTCAATAACTCTATCAAGTAGATTCAAGCAGATAATAAAAGCCAATGCATTTACACAGCCTTGAACAGATCAACTGAGACCAAATAACGAAAAATCAGGCCTATAAATCATGCTCCCAAAACGACTTCAGCTTTGTGAAAACCGTTTAAATGCGTTTAAAATTGTTTGAAAGTCAGTTGTTACCTTTTAGGTTATATAGATAAAACATCAACTGCAAAACATGAACTGCCTCCTTGTATCCCACGAACTTGTTCACAGCATGGATAATGTCAGTCAAATGTCCACAGGGATGCCATCAAAACGATGGTCATAGATTCAGTACTCCCAGTGTAATGGCTTAGGCTGTCGATAGCATCAGATAAAAATTCCAGTAATTTGATAACTCGAAGTTTTAAACCTGACGTCTCAAAAGAATCAGTGATAACCTCACACATAC